TCTGCAGCTGTTGTGATGACACTTACCACAGAGATGAAACCTAGCTGAGCAAATAATGTACATCATCGGCGCATCCCAGAGAAAATATAGCATAAATTACAGAAAGCTAGCAAACAGTGCACTGCTTTATCCAATTATTCACTGAAGGCTATCAATCTTGTACACATCCATTCTAGAAAAGGGAGTTAGTCTGGAGATGCAAATTGCTTAAATAAGTTTCTCCATCTCATGTTACAACTGGAGACGTGATGCTTCCCGTAAGAGCTGCAATGGGAAATAACAATGAAAAAACAATTGTCTTTTCAATCAGTTTTCATCATAATTTGACATGGTGAAAGGACACAAAGAGGCATAACCTAAGGACATAAATATGTAACTTTGGCTTGTAGACCCTCTTAGCTTCATCTTTCTTTATTAGTGATATGAACAGAATGTCCCATTATAAATTTTTATTGGTCAATTTTCAGTGTGACATGAACAGTCACCTTCTCACCAAGCTGCTTGGCGATGGTCTTGTAGCCCATTCCAGCCTTGTGTAGGTCTACAATCTTGTCCCTGACATCCTTGGAGAGCTCTTTGTCTTGGCCATGGTGGAGAGTTTGGAATCTGATTGATTGATTGCTTCTCCATTGTGGACAGGTGTCTTTTATACAGGTAACAAGCTGAGATTAGGAGCACTCCCTTTAAGAGTGTGCTCCTAATCTCAGCTCGTTACCTGTATAAAAGACACCTGGGAGCCAGAAATCTTTCTGATTGAGAGGGTGTCAAATACTTATTTCCCTCATTAAAATGCAAATCAATTTATAACATTTTTTACATGCGTTTTTCTGGATTTTTTTGTTGTTATTCTGTCTCTCACTGTTCAAATAAACCTATCATTAAAATTATAGACTGATCATGTCTTTGTCAGTGGGCAAACGTACAAAATCAGCAGGGGATCAAATACTTTTTTCCCTCACTGTATAACCCTGCATGGTGTAATGTTTACTTTTATCACAATCAGACATAATGAAGCAAATGGAACATGACTATTGGAAAATGTCTAGGAGCACTTAGTTGACCTACCAACAAAATCTCAAGCTTAGAAAACAAACATGAACTGAAAATGTAACAAATGATTCCACTGAAATTAGCTGGAGAGTCAGGAGCACTGAGTGTTATTGAAGGTGTGTGGCCCATACTGGGGTTCTGTGTTCACGTCACATGACCTGGATTTGAACCTTTATTTTAAGCCTTTTCCACAAATGAGAATTACAGCAAGAATGAAATTAATTGTCTGAGGATGGTGCTGGACCTTCTGAAATAAAAATAAAGTTCAATGAAAAAGCTTTAAACAAAGGTAAAAATCCCTGTCATGTGACATGATCAACCAAAACACAGGGCCTTTCAGCCTCACAAGGGGCCATACATTTTTCAGCTTTATGGACAGCTCCTAAACTGGCTTCATTCAGTGAAGATGAACAGCAATTAGCCAGTAGCACTAGGTGTGGCTGAAGGTGTGTGTGACCCATTACATACTCACAATGTGGTAGCTGTTCTTTCAGCACTACTAGGGACCATACAATAAGCTTGTCAGCACCACAGACAGCTCCTACAGCTCCTAACCAGGCTTCATTCAGTGCATATGAACATCAATAAATCGGGAGCACTAGCTGTAGGGGGAGGAATGTGGACCATGGTAGCTGTCCATTCAGAACCACTAGGGAAATGTTTGTCATTTAGCATACACTCTTATCCAGAGCGACTTACAGGAGCAATTAGGGTTAAGTGTCTTGCTCAAGGGCACATCTTAGGGGTGGAACGGCCAAGAGGTGGCAGAATGGAGTGCTTGGGTTGGGGTGTAGGGTTTCAGCATAGCCTGAAGGTAGGGAGAGGCAGTTCCTCTTGCTGATCCATAGGCAAGCACCATGGTCTTGTAGTGGATGAGAACTTCGACTGGAGGCCAGTTGAGTGTGCGGAGGAGCGGGGTGACATGGGAGAACTTGGGAAGGTTGAACACCAGGCGGGCTGCTACGTTCTGGATAAGTTGCAGGGGTTTGATGGCATAAGCAGGGAGCCAGCAAACAGAGAGTTGCAGTAGTCTAGACGGGAGATGACAAGAGCCTGGTTTGGAACCTGCGCCGCTTCCTGTGTGAGGAAGGGTCATACTCTACGGATGTTGTAGACATACAGTCTACAACACACACACACCAGGTCTGGCCAAGGTTTTTACCCTTCTGATGCAGTCTACGTTATGAGGCAAGACAAAGGCGCTGACTGTGGACTACAGGAAACGGAGGGCCGAGCACGCCCCCATCCACATTGACAGGGCTGTAGTGGAGCGGGTCGAGAGTTTCAAGTTCCTCTGTGTCCACATCACTAAGGAATTATCATGGTCCACACACACCAACACAGTCGTGAAGAAGGGACGACAATGCCTCTTCCCCCTCCGGAGGCTGAAAAGATTTGGAATGGGCCCTCAGATCCTCAAAAAGTTATACACAGCTGCACCATTGAGAGCATCTTGACTGGCTGCATCACCATTTGGTATGTCAACTTCTTGGCATCCAACCGCAAGGCACTATAGAGGGTAGTGCGTACAGCCCAGTACATCACTGGGGCTGAGCTCCATGTTATCCAGGACCTCTATGCCAGGCGGTGTCAGAGGAAGGCCCTAAAAGTTGTCAAAGACTCCAGCCACCCAAGTCATAGACTGTTCTCTCTGCTACCGCAGAGCAAGCGGTACCAATGCAAGTCTGGAACCAACAGAACCCTGAACAGCTTCTACCCCCCAAGCCATAAAACTGCTAAACAGTTAGTTAAATAGTTAACCAATAGCTACCCAGACTATCTGCATTGACCCTTTTTGCACTAACTCTTTTGACTCATCACACGCTGTTGCTACTGTTTATTATCTATCCTGGTTCATTGTCACTTTATCCCTACCTATACAGTGGGGGAAAAAAGTATTTAGTCAGCCACCAATTGTGCAAGTTCTCCCACTTAAAAAGATGAGAGAGGCCTGTAATTTTCATCATAGGTACACGTCAACTATGACAGACAAAATGAGAAAAAAAAATCCAGAAAATCACATTGTAGGATTTTTAATGAATGTATTTGCAAATTATGGTGGAAAATAAGTATTTGGTCAATAACAAAAGTTTCTCAATACTTTGTTATATACCCTTTGTTGGCAATGACACAGGTCAAACGTTTTCTGTAAGTCTTCACAAGGTTTTCACACACTGTTGCTGGTATTTTGGCCCATTCCTCCATGCAGATCTCCTCTAGAGCAGTGATGTTTTGGGGCTGTCGCTGGGCAACACGGACTTTCAACTCCCTCCAAAGATTTTCTATGGGGTTGAGATCTGGAGACTGGCTAGGCCACTCCAGGACCTTGAAATGCTTCTTACGAAGCCACTCCTTTGTTGCCCGGGCAGTGTGTTTGGGATCATTGTCATGCTGAAAGACCCAGCCACGTTTCATCTTCAATGCCCTTGCTGATGGAAGGAGGTTTTCACTCAAAATCTCACGATACATGGCCCCATTCATTCTTTCCTTTACACGGATCAGTCGTCCTGGTCCCTTTGCAGAAAAACAGCCCCAAAGCATGATGTTTCCACCCCCATGCTTCACAGTAGGTATGGTGTTCTTTGGATACAACTCAGCATTCTTTGTCCTCCAAACACGACGAGTTGAGTTTTGACCAAAAAGTTATATTTTGGTTTCATCTGACCATATGACATTCTCCCAATCCTCTTCTGGATCATCCAAATGCACTCTAGCAAACTTCAGACGGGCCTGGACATGTACTGGCTTAAGCTGGGGGACACGTCTGGCACTGCAGGATTTGAGTCCCTGGCGGCGTAGTGTGTTACTGATGGTAGGCTTTGTTACTTTGGTCCCAGCTCTCTGCAGGTCATTCACTAGGTCCCCCCGTGTGGTTCTGGGATTTTTGCTCACCGTTCTTGTGATCATTTTGACCCCACGGGGTGAGATCTTGCGTGGAGCCCCAGATCGAGGGAGATTATCAGTGGTCTTGTATGTCTTCCATTTCCTAATAATTGCTCCCACAGTTGATTTCTTCAAACCAAGCTGCTTACCTATTGCAGATTCAGTCTTCCCAGCCTGGTGCAGGTCTACAATTTTGTTTCTGGTGTCCTTTGACAGCTCTTTGGTCTTGGCCATAGTGGAGTTTGGAGTGTGACTGTTTGAGGTTGTGGAGAGGTGTCTTTTATACTGATAACAAGTTCAAACAGGTGCCATTAATACAGGTAACGAGTGGAGGACAGAGGAGCCTCTTAAAGAAGAAGTTACATGTCTGTGAGAGCCAGAAATCTTGCTTGTTTGTAGGTGACCAAATACTTATTTTTCACCATCATTTGCAAATAAATTCATTAAAAATCCTACAATGTGATTTTCAATTTGTCTGTCATAGTTGACGTGTACCTATGATGAACATTACAGGCCTCTCTCATCTTTTTAAGTGGGAGAACTTGCACAATTGGTGGCTGACTAAATACTTTTTTCCCCCACTGTATGTACATATCTACATCAATTACCTCAGTTCACACACCCACATATACACACACACACACACACACACAACCACGCACGCACACACAAGGACACCCCCTTCACTAATCCAATATTTTGCCATGATAAATATGACAGTTTTGTCATTTGATGGTGTCCAATTATCCACAAATCACCCATTTTCAATACACCACTAATTATGATTGAAATAATCATGTGGTCTAGCACATGGTGACCAGATAAACTGCATTTGATTTGGCAAATTAGCCAGAAGTCTGTCAATATCATCTCTAGAAATAGCAGAACATGTATTCTTATTCATTCTGTGGCATATAGCACGTCATGCTGCTGCAAGGGCCATTGCAGACCCTATAGCGTATTTTATGTCCTTCTCTCATTAATTATTGGTGCGTTGCGATTTTTAATGCGTCTTCTGGGTTTTTAACTAATTATTAACTTGTGCTCTAGCCCGTAACGCGTGGCGAATGGAATCCGCTGCGAGGGAGCTCAGCGTCCAGGTACACCTCAGAAAATGCGCAGCTCCTCAGACGTGTTTGTGTTGCACAATGCCCCATATAGCGCTGACTAAAGGTGAACGGAGAGCCGCGTTCAATGCTTATTCTTTTAAGATCTTCAGCCGCACAACACAGGGAGACCTGCTTGACGCAAATCTGGTCCGGACACCGCTGTGTCTTCTGAAATGCTCGAATTAGCCAAAGGAGATTGGATCTGCCTAGCATATTGATACGGTTCAGCTACTGCATGCATCCCGGCAACGTCTTCTTGCGCAATCATCGACACCTCGGGTGAAACGCGAATAGCCTACCCATTTTATTTCAAAGTCACCGAATTTTCTACGAAATAGCGTGTTTTTTGTGCAAATATAGTTTTGATGTTGGTAAAAAGACGCGCATGCGTTGGTCTTGGAATAATTGGGCAGCCTGTGACTTAAGTAGGTAGCATTCCTGAAATCTTCGCTCTAAGTCATCTCTCTGATCAAAGTTAGTGATGTGCACGGCTTTGGACCGCGGACGCTGGGGGATTTTTTGTATTTTCCTCATGGTCGCCATGGTCTGCGGCGCTCAAAGGTGAGATCCAACGGGTGTGATGTCTTGTTTCTGCCTGTCTTGCCTGTCCCTTTGCAGTTTAAAAAAAACTAAGCTTCTGAATCAATACCATATATTTTCCCTTTAGCGCCAACGAGCCTAGCAACATGTCATTTGTGAAAGCTACCGTCGACAAACTGCTAAAGGGGTATGACATTCGTCTGAGGCCTGATTTTGGAGGTAAATACCTTTTTTTGTGGTGAAGTATACCCAATGTTGGCTAATAACTAATAACACGTCGCATGCAGATTCATTTGTCGCGTCAGCGAGATGTCTGATTAAAAAGCCCCTGATACCTGTTTTACATGCGATTTAAAGGTGCCCCTGTGGACGTTGGCATGAGCATAGATATCGCCAGTATCGACATGGTTTCGGAAGTCAACATGGTAAGTAGCCTACCCAATGTTTTTTTTTTTGCAAGGGAGATGTGCCTCGTGCAACACATGTTAGTGTGAGAACACAGACCACGTGATTACCGCTTGGGTAATTTTCTGCGTATTTGCGTGTTTCATGCCACTGTCCTCTAGATGTAGTGATAAATCCTTGTATTTTTGTCTTTGCCCTTGTTTGGCTACTAGTATAACGTTTTTCCGTTGACCAAAATGGTTCGTTGCATTTCAGCACCAAGGAGAGCTACTGCAATGTGTGAAATCCATCGTATGCATAAACTTCCCTGTAGTGTCAAAACCACATGCGTGTACCTACATAATTGTGAGGTCTTACATATATACATTACGAGCTCTGATACAGGATGAATTGATGAAGAGGAGACTAAAACATAGTGCTTGTGTGCATATTTGCTGGTTTGGCCTCAATGCAGTAATTACATAACGTTGTCAGTGACTCAACAAGGAGGCCCAGAAAAGCCAAATTGTGATTCTGAATGTGGGCACTTAGTGTGTGCATATGAGCATTGTCATGGTGCCAGTGATATATACAAATTAATGTATGATTGGTTCAACTTGTCTTAAAAAATAATAACAGCAGGCATGACTATAAAGTGTGTGTGTGGCGTGTATGTACTGTATGTGCATGTGTGGCAAGGGAGAAAATATTTTGTTCTGCTCAGCTTCCAAGCAAACACTGAGTGTTTATGGAATGTTGGGTAGTTCAATGTTTTCACAATGCTACAGAAAACTACAGTCTTTACAGTCATATTGCTCTGGGAGCTTTGGCATGTCTGCAACAATGTTCTGGGAATGTCATGGGACTGTTTTAAAGTTGCTCTGTGTGTCTTAAAACTGCTGGAAAATTGGATAGAGTGATGTTCTAAGAAAATGTTTTGGAAATGTTGGATGGTGTGTGGCTGAGTGTTTTGTATAAATGTAAAAATGAGCAGGCATGTTCATAAAACCAAACCATGTTTCAGTGTGTAAGGCAGCTATAGCTAAAGGATAGCAGATACGAAACATCTATTTACAACTAGAAATAATGTTACAACAATAAGGTGTATTGCAACTGCTATAGCAACACATTTACAAGTCCCCTCCACATAACACACATATACACTAACACAAACAAACACACACACACACGGAGTGGCCAGACGGAAGCCACTCCTCAGTAAAAGGCACATGACAGCCCACTTGGAGTTTGCCAAAAGGCACCTAAAGAATAGGCGAAACTCCCCAAATACACGTGTGCCAAGCTTGTAGCGTCGTACCCAAGAAGACTTGAGGCTGTAATCGCTGCCAAAGGTGCTTCAACAAAGTACTGAGTAAAGGGTCTGAATACTTATCTAAATGTGATATTTCTGCTGTTAAAAAAATAAAAAATGTCTAAAACAAATTTTACACCTGTTTATGCTTTGTCACAATGGTGTATTGTGTGTAGATTGATGAGGGATTTTTTTTATCCATTTAAGAATAAGGCAGTAACAAAACAAAATGTTGAAAAAGTGAAGGGGTCTGAATACTTTCCAAATGCACTGTATATTAGAGTGACGCTATACACACTGGAAATCATGTGTTGGTAGCACTTTATAATAACTCCACATAATAAAGTATTTATAATAGATTAGTAAATAGTTTATTTATCATTTGTTAATCATTACTCCCAAATTTGTAAATGTTAGTAACCTAGTTATTCACACATTTATAAACAACCTTTAAATAATTGAATAATGATTCATAAGATCATTCATAAGACGTTTAATATAGGTCCTTGTGAACCATTTACTAATCATAAATTAAATATGTTTATGTATGGACTCATCTAAAGTGTGGGCTATTCATACTTTATAAATACTTTATAAATGTTTTGAGTGACCAGTGTAATTTCTCACAAAAAGATGGACATGCCATTGGTAGACGTTCCAGAAGTACCTGATGCTCCTTAAGGTCTCAAAATGGCCCCTAGAACATATCAATGGTAAAAGAATAAGCACACAACACAGGACATTTATCCCAAAACAGTCACACTGTTGTAATAGTGTGATGTGTAACTTCAGACACACTATACTGAGTAAAATAAAATGTTTAGCCCAAAAATGCTAACATAAATGTTTCTTGGCAGTGACTTTTCTACCAAAACCAAAGTGTGGATTGCAGTCACTCCTTAGAGCATTCTAATCTCGGTTAACCCAGAACTAAAATCTTGCATAATTTGGTCAGCTGCATGATTAAATTCTGGGTCCATACGTGATAGAAATTGGGTGTTCCGGTTTGCGATCCTGGTACGTCGAAATAATCAGGTACGCAAACCCAAACACCGGAACTACTGCTGCTCGTTATCCTACGCATTCCATCCAGTCGCAACAGATTAATCGGTTTACACGAGAGATTAAGAGCAGTCCATAGACTGCTTACAAGGTAAGGAAACAAATATCTGAATACATTATTTCGTGGATCTAGCCCATTAAGTTTATAGAGTTACTACCTTTAAAGGTCCAGTCAAGGTGCCGCTAAACAAAGCTATGTGTGAAAATACATGTAACATTTCTAGACAAGGGAGTCATAACCATCAGTCTGCAAATCATAACTGTAGGAAACTCTGGTTAGCCAAAAACACTACAATAACTCATGTGAAAAGGTTAAACATTTGTCCAATGTTCGTCATTGGTAGGGTCCCGAATAGTCTCATCTCTATAGTTCTTTCAAACACACAAATGGTATTCTTTATGCTATTTGTCTCATGACTCCTGCGTGCATTGTTGACCATGACCTTGCTTGTTTACCCGCCCGTGGGACAGACTGTTTGTTCCCACACTCTGACTCACTATTGGTTACACGGTCTCTTGGACTCCCATCCTATTCTAACCACCTCTCGCCGGCTTTGTATTCATGTTACCTGATGAAATTGCTGTACAATATGATCTTGTTGCCATCTGATACACATTAAAATGTCATAAAAAATGTCAAAGGTCCTAAATTATGTCACCATTGCCCTTGATTCTAAGCAATGTTGTGCTGCTATTTTTATTGACTTGGCCAAAGCTTTTGATACGGTAGACCATTCCATCCTTGTCGGCCGGCTAAGGAGTATTGGTGTCTCTGAGGGGTCTTTGGCCTGGTTTGCTAACTACCTCTCTCAAAGAGTGCAGTGTATAAAGTCAAAGCATCTGCTATCTCAGTCACTGCCTGTCACCAAGGGAATACCCCAGGGCTCGATCCTAGGCCCCACGCTCTTCTCAATTTACATCAACAATATAGCTCAGGCAGTAGGAAGCTCTCTCATCCATTTATATGCAGATGATACAGTCTTATACTCAGCTGGCCCCTCCCCGGATTTTGTGTTAAACGCTCTACAACAAGCTTTCTCTGCCCTTAACCTTGTTCTGAACACCTCCAAAACAAAGGTAATGTTGTTTGGTAAGAAGAATGCCCATCTCCCCACCGGTGTGATTACTACCTCTGAGGGTTTAGAGCTTGAGGTAGTCACCTCATACAAGTACTTGGGAGTATGGCTAGACAGTACACTGTCTTTCTCTCAGCACATATCAAAGCTGCAGGCTAAGGTTAAATCTAGACTTGGTTTCCTTTATCGTAATCACTCCTCTTTCACCCCAGCTGCCAAACTAACCCTGATTCAGATGACCATCTACCCATGCTAGATTACGGAGACGTAATTTATAGATTGGCAGGTAAGGGTGCTCTCGAGCGGCTAGATGTTCTTTACCATTCGGCCATCAGATTTGCCACCAATGCTCCGTATAAGACACATCACTGCACTCTATACTCCTCTGTAAACTGGTCATCTCTGTATACCCGTCGCAAGACCCACTGGTTGATGCTTATTTACAAAACACTCTTAGGTCTCACTCCCCCCTATCTGAGATACCTACTGCAGCCCTCATCCTCCACATACAATACCCGTTCTGCCAGTCACATTCTGTTAAAGGTCCCCAAAGCACACACATCCCTGGGTCGGTCCTCTCTCCATCTCTTCACTCAAAGACTCAATCATGGACACTCTTACTGACAATTGTGGCTGCTTCGCGTGATGTATTGTTGTCTCTACCTTCTTGCCCTCTGTGCTGTTGTCTGTGCCCAATAATGTTTGTACCATGTCTTGTGCTGCTACCATGTTGTGCTGCTGCCATGTTGTGTTGCTACCATGTTGTTTTCATGTTGGGTTGCTACCTTGCTGTGTTGTTGTGTGTTGCTGCCATGCTATGTTGTTGTCTTAGGTCTCTCTTTATGTAGTGTTGTGTTGTCTCTCTTTATGTAGTGTTGTGTTGTCTCTCTGGTTGTGATGTGTGTTTGGTCCTATACTTATTTATATGTTTGTAATCCCAGCCCCCGTCCCCGCAGGAGGCCTTTTGCCTTTTGGTAGGCCGTCATTGTAAATAAGAATTTGATCTTAACTGACTTGACTAGTTAAATAAAGGTTAAATTAAAAACATTAAAAAACATTAAAAATGTTCTCTCAAACACCCATAATGAAGCAGGTTTTTGATTGGTGAACCTTTTTAGTAGAATAATGATAATTCCAAAGTAATAGATGTAATAACATAGTAATATATCTGTCATGGATCATTATATCTGGTTTCAACACCATTGATGAACAACAGACTATTTGCACTTTGACATACGAAATGATTATAACTTAGTATCTGTTTTTCCGGTCATTCAACTGGCTATTGAGTATCAATGACATTGCCTTCATACATTCCACATTTGTATATTTTTTCTCATTTCTAACATTTTTGGTTGTCTAAAAGCCATTCATCCAAAGAAATGGGTCCCGTTACTGAGCAGCGTACTACTGAGTTATTTGTGACATCCGATAGTAGAGGGCCTGCAGTAGCTTTCCACAGGTGAGTTGCCCTTCTGAAATTGCCTTTTATTCTTGGGTTGTAAAAGGCTTCATTAAATTATAAATTGTAAGTCACAAGCTTGCACCTGAACAAAGCCTTTTACATGATTTACATTCATAGCATTCATACATAAGTCATTTCCACATGATATACTGAATTTGTCAAGTAAATGTAGACAGTTTGTGGAGTCAATGATGTGCTATGAATTGTTTATTAGGTTGGATTCCTACTGACAATATCTCCTCTGGGAAAATGGAAGGTGCTGCTTTCTCTGAGCCGGTCCCAGAGGAATTCTGATTGGAAAGCCTAACAGCCTGGACGGGTCATTGATTGTGCCTCTGTGGCCTCTTCCCGGTTTAGCATTTTAATGTGTATGAGACTGGGAGGCTGGAAGGGGTTTTATGCTCTGTCTGATAGAGACATTTGGCACTGGCTCTCCTTGAGAAAGGCCACACTGAAACGTTGGTCATACTGGTCACGATATAAATATCCATCCATAAATTGATTATATACTATAGTATGCCTATTGCTATTTCAATGCATGTACTTCACACCCTGCTTCAGCAACATCACTGTCACCCAGTAGACTTTTGGGGGTAAGCACTGTAGTCTTGGCCAGGTCATTACAATCTTTCCTGGTAAATAAAGGTTGTGAATAAATACCTGACTTCCACTCGACTACCACACTGTAGCATATTTGAACACACACTTACCCCACCAGAGATGCCACCAGGGGTCTTTTCACAGTCCCCAAATCCAGAGCAAATTCAAGAAAGTGTACAGTATAATATAGAGCCATTATTGCATGGAACTCCCTTCCATCTCATATTTCTCAAATGAACAGAAAACCTGGTTTCAAAAAACAGATAAAGCAACACCTCATGGCACAAGGCCTCTCCCCTATTTGACCAGGTCCCAGTTTCTTTATAATGTACTGTAATGTTTGGGTGTAACCTTTTCAGCGTTTGATGCTTGAAGGATAGAAACAGTTTTTTTTTGTAGTTATGAAAATTGACGTCGCTCAGTCATAGAGGATGTCCCTCTTAATGAAACTCTCCTTTTCTCCCACTTTTGTCAAATTCTCTGCAGACTTCACACCCCATTAGCTTTTTGTTAAAGCTCCTCAGCTAAAGCCGCTTGACTATCCCTGACGGACGCCAACGTGCTTCAATGGTATAACCTCAAGTTAAATACATTTGTGATAGATTAGCAAAGGAAACATTTAGAGGAGCAAGACACAGCTGACTAAGATGATGATTTTATTCAAATAGCTCTTTGGAAAGACTCCATTTTGAACTAGAAATTATATTCCTTAGAAAATGAGATCCGCAAATGCAAGTGAGCCAATTAACAGCCAAGTAATGTTACTGATAAAAGTATATAGTATGTGAGCTAATCATGGTTTGGAAGAGCAGTTTATACAGTGAGGGAAAAAAGTATTTGATCCCCTGCTGATTTTGTATGTTTGCCCACTGACAAAGAAATGATCAGTCTATAATTTTAATGGTAGGTTTATTTGAACAGTGAGAGACAGAATAACAAAAAAAAAATCCAGAAAAAACGCATGTCAAAAATGTTATAAATTGATTTGCATTTTAATGAGGGAAATAAGTATTTGACCCCTCTGCAAAACATGACTTAGTACTTGGTGGCAAAACCCTTGTTGGCAATCACAGAGGTCAGACGTTTCTTGTAGTTGGCCACCAGGTTTGCACACATCTCAGGAGGGATTTTGTCCCACTCCTCTTTGCAGACATTAAGGTTTCGAGGCTGACGTTTGGCAACTCGAACCTTCAGCTCCCTCCACAGATTTTCTATGGGATTAAGGTCTGGAGACTGGCTAGGCCACTCCAGGACCTTAATGTGCTTCTTCTTGAGCCACTCCTTTGTTGCCTTGGCCGTGTGTTTTGGGTCATTGTCATGCTGGAATACCCATCCACGACCTGTTTTCAATGCCCTGGCTGAGGGAAGGAGGTTCTCACCCAAGATTTGACGGTACATGGCCCCGTCCATCGTCCCTTTGATGCGGTGAAGTTGTCCTGTCCCCTTAGCAGAAAAACACCCCCAAAGCATAATGTTTCCACCTCCATGTTTGACGGTGGGGATGGTGTTCTTGGGGTTATAGGCAGCATTCCTCCTCCTCCAAACACGGCGAGTTGAGTTGATGCCAAAGAGCTCCATTTTGGTCTCATCTGACCACAACACTTACAACCAGTTCTCCTCTGAATCATTCAGATGTTCATTGGCAAACTTCAGACGGGCCTGTATATGTGCTTTCTTGAGCAGGGGGACCTTGCGGGCGCTGCAGGATTTTAGTCCTTCACGGCGTAGTGTGTTACCAATTGTTTTCTTGGTGACTATGGTCCCAGCTGCCTTGAGATCATTGACAAGATCCTCCCGTGTAGTTCTGGGCTGATTCCTCACCGTTCTGATGATCATTGCAACTCCACGAGGTGAGATCTTGCATGGAGCCCCAGGCCGAGGGAGATTGACAGTTCTTTTGTCTTTCTTTCATTTGCGAATAATCGCACCAACTGTTGTCACCTTCTCACCAAGCTGCTTGGTGATGGTCTTGTAGCCCATTCCAGCCTTGTGTAGGTCTACAATCTTGTCCCTGACGTCCTTGGAGAGCTCTTTGGTCTTTGCCATGGTGGAGAGTTTTGAATCTAAATGATTGATTGCTTCTGTGGACAGGTGTCTTTTATACAGGTAACAAACTGAGATTAGGAGCACTCCCTTTAAGAGTATGCTCCTAATCTCAGCTCGTTACCTGTATAAAAGACACCTGGGAGCCAGAAATCTTTCTGATTGAGAGGGTGTCAAATACTTATTTCCCTCATTAAAATGCAAATCAATTTATAACATTTTTGACATGCGTTTTTCTGGATTGTTTTGATATTATTCTGTCTCTCAATGTTCAAATAAACCTACCATTACAATTATAGACTGATCATTTCTTTGTCAATGGGCAAACATACAAAATCAGCAGGGGATCAAATACTTTTTTCCCTCACTGTACATGCAATAAAATGTGTTGGGACATCATTACGAGAGTAAATGTGTTGATTTTATTTATTATTATTATAAGGTCGATTGGCTGCTTACTATCTAACCCTAGAAAGTTGAATGCTCAGCATGTGTACTGTATGTAAGAAAATGAGCCAGAATGCATCACAAGTGCCGAATACGAACTAAAACAGAAAATAGATATTTACACATCCATCTTAAAAGCACCCAGCCTTGCCTACATAGACTAGCTAAGTGCAAACGACTTGTTATGTTAGCGTTGAGTTCAGATACTCTGTTGATGCCAACAGTGGTACTGTATTATTTTATTATAATGCTAGTATTGTTTGTTTGCTACAGTGAGATTCTTCTGAGAGTTAATGCTAGCCTAAGCATGACAATTCCAGGCAAAAACATATTTTTTATTGTATTCTTACCAAATATCACAGAGGGGAGTTTCTGATACCCTTACTTCTTCAACAAATCATACAACCTTGCTATGACATTGAAATTCGTCCGAAAGGCAGGCTGGGCTGTATGCTGAGTTAGCGCCCGAACAGGGTAATACCAAAAGGATTATACAAGGACATTTCAGGTCAGTGTCTTACTGCTCTCACTCTTACCGACCTTAGTAATCAGACATGCTGTGCTGTCAAAGGCAACTGGACGACACTGATGTGACATGAGCTGTAGGAGGTTTGCTGTGAGGTCACAAGGGTCAGACTCATATTCTTCCTCTCCCTGAGTTGAGTGGTTGGCTGTGGCAATATTTCTGCCTGAGCGACCTTGGACATTCATTGAAAAAGGGCTGCTGCATGTGTTCAGGTCTTGGATAGCCTACATTGTTGAATGTCGTCAGGATGTCACACTGCCTACATGACAGTGGTGCTTCCCCATGGGGCAGTGTACTACAGTAGTAGTAATAGTCGAGGCTGCAGGATTTCTGTTCAGTCAAGAATTAGTATTTCAAGAGATTTAAAGGAGTATTTGATTAAGTTAGCATGTGTTGGAGACTTGAAATAACGGCCTGTGAAGGATGTGATCAAGGGAGAGGTGAGCGGTCTTGTTTTCAGACGATTTGATAGTCTGATTTCTGCAGTATTGTAGCAGCAGAGAGATTTGAGCACTCTTTGCTCTACTTAAAGACTTTAAGACTTAGTATTGGGCTGAAATAGCAGGTCATTCTCTCCTTGTGGCTGGTGTGAGATACTGTAATGTATTAGTCCTGGTCTCTTTATCTTTCTGTCTCTCTCCCTTCCTCTTCCCTGCTCTCTCTCTACTCTCTCTCCTTGTCTCTCACACCAACTCCCTTTCCTTTTTCTCTTGGGGTTTTCTTCCTTAAACTGTACATGCTCAGATTTTTCATATTGCGTACTACACCTAGATTTGAGTGGTTTGTTTGTTGGACATGTGAAGGCCTCGCTTTTACAAGCTTGAGTGATGACAAGTAAAAGTGGTGTTTGTTAGCAATGTGCGAAAGCTGTTTTGTTATCATGGCAACCACAGTGGAATTGCTTTGACTTTGTCTCACAGTCCATATCATTTCAGATATTTTGAAAGCGGCATCTCCGTTTCTCAAGTTTAGAGCGGTAGGAGTGCTGCCGCATTCGCACGGTTAGGACAGACATGACTCTCATAAAGTGAAGGCCAAACTCAACATACTGTAGAAGAGACCCAGGCCCATGGAAGCCCACTTGTGCCAAACTCAATCAACAGCACAGGTAGGCAGGCAATAATCGCTTTATTGGGTTGTTAATGAAAATGCAGGTACCCTAGCTCTTGTCAACATGTGTCCTATGTTGCATTGGTTAGCTAACAATGTGATTATACTGTGTGAGAACTCCTCATAGGCCTAGTTGTTAGTATGAGGAAGCTTACGAACCCTCACTACTCCTCCTGTTATGGCACCTTATGTATCTCCACAGCAGCTCCTGTATTGAGCACCTTATGAAGCCCTCATAGCGGCTTGTGGTCAGGAGTTATTGATCTGTTTGGGAGATTGATGTGTCCGCCGCCTCCTTAGGATGAGGATTTATGTGATGCTCTGCCGATAGCACTTCATCTCACCAGTGAGAAAGATCAAGGTGTCACGGGTGGGTTCTCAGTTGAAACAACTTCATCTTAACTCAAAATCCGTTGCCCATGCTGCGCCATGATCAGGGGTCCAAGCACTGAGGACGCAGGAGCCCACCTGGATTTGATTGAAAGTTTTATTTTATTTTCCCCCTGGAAAAGAGCAACCAAGGCACTGCACAGTGTGGGTGCAGAGGTTTGAGTCCCACTGCCCCCCCCAAATTTACTTCAATAGATCCTATGGCGATTTTCCTATAGTCTCTGGTACACCATTTACTGTATATTACTGCAGTAACCACAGTATGAGAGAGTCATGGGGTGTCTGGTTGGGTCCTTGTACTCTATAGATTTAATCTCTCAGATGAAAACAGCAAGAAAGTAGGGAGTCACCGGCACTATAGACTGAGATGATCACACAGACATTGTCTGTTTGTCATATTAAAGTTGGGGGGCTCATTGATAGGTATTTACATTTTAGTCATTTAGCAGAAGCTCTTATCCAGAGCAACTTACAGTTAGTGAGTGCATACATTTTCATACTGGCCCCCCGTGGGAATCGAACCCACAACCCTGGAATTGCAAACGCCATGCTCTACCAGCTGAGCTACACGGGGCTACAGAGTAATAGGTGACATTTCCCCAATGCAAGACAGACTGCTGCAGCGGAACTGCTCTCTTTTTTTGTGCTTTCTCACCATTCATGCCTGGAAATAATGCAGAAGACGAGAGATGAGACGAGACGTTCTTGTGCTAAGAGCTCTGTGAGATTAATTTAAAGCAAGTAACTTCATTTTATTTAACCCCTTGGTGAGCCTGAAGCAGAGCAGATGGGTGAATGCTGCATTTAATCTAATCTGTCACTTCGGTTCTGTCTGTACTGTCCTGTCCTGTCTTGCACTGTACTCTACTGTACTGTACTGTCCTGTCTTGCACTGTACTCTACTGTACTGTACTGTCCTGTCTTGCACTGTACTCTACTGTACTGTACTGTCCTGTCTTGCACTGTACTCTACTGTACTGTACTGTACTGTCCTGTCTTGCACTGTACTGTACTGTCCTGTCTTGCACTGTACTCTACTGTACTGTACTGTACTATCCTGTCTTGCACTGTACTCTACTCTACTGTACTGTACTGTACTGTCCTGTCTTGCACTGTACTGTACTGTACTGTACTGTCCTGTCTTGCACTGTACTGTACTGTACTGTACTGTCCTGTCTTGCACTGTACTCTACTGTACTGTACTGTACTGTCCTGTCTTGTACTGTACTGATACAGTACTGTACTGATACAGTACTGTACTGATACAGTACCATACCGTGCTGTCTATCTGTAGTACAGTACACTGGGCCTTTTTATAAAGCAGTACGAGTGCATCCTTTTTACCATCTTGTTCTGCAGAAGTGGCCTATGAATTCACAGAATATTAGTGTGAAGGAACTTTGGGGGCGTCTTGCTGCTTATTTGTAAGCCTTTTTAGTCAACCAATGCATGTTAGAAAGCACTTGTGTTTGGTAGCAAGTGAGAAAATGAGAGATCTAGCATTTCATCACACATAGAGGACACACTGAGCCTGTTAACAGCTAGACTTGACCACCGTTCTAGTGTAATTCCATACCCAAGTAAGACCCATTAGACTGGAGGTTAATGGTTCCCCATCTGATTAGATGTCAAGAGGCATTTCCTATAAGGAACATCACAGGCACTGCCCAGTCAGTGGGAGCGTGGGATAAAATATGAGGCTGCCGACAGTGCGGCACGACAGAGGGCACTCAGGGTTAATGTTTAATGGAATCATTCTCCCCTGGCCCAAGCCTCTCAGGATATCTGGAAGATAGAAAGTCACGAGAGGAAGAAAGTCTGAGAAAGGCTTTTTCTTTTTCTGCTCTCTTCACCACCAAGAGAATCTCGATGATAGTTTTATTGAATTGTCACTGTTTTACCTGTGTATGACTTCATGCGGAGGTGTTGGCATGGAAACAAGGGGAGAGATGAGACTAGAGGAGGTTATTGGATTAGGGGACAGGAAGAGGTGGGTGGGGGGGGGGTGTTCAAAAGCTGTGTACATCCTTGAGTTCGGGTTAAATTCATTTGAGTTCCAGTAGACTCCATGTCCAATTTATTTAGTAAATTGATTGAAATGTCAATGAATTTGACACCATCTCTGGTATGCATACATATAAATTCCCTGCAATGCCTGTCTGTTTGTACATTCTATTACGGACACAGTCTTATCCAAGGACTTATAACACAGGCTTCAGTCCACTCAAACTGCAATGTAGTCAGTCGCCTGCAGTAACACATGGTGACAAAATCTGATAAGTTCTTAGTTATATTGTGCACCCAAGTTGCACTCATGTCTCGATAGGACATAGACATTACTAAAATCTTGATCAATAACTAATTGGCAGTAAATGTATGAAAATAAGACCTAGATTCAATCAGATCAAGTATTTACCTGGCGATAGCCGACACCCGCATAGCTGATGTTTTGGCGATGTAGGCTGTATAGAAATAATGATGCTCAAATTCAAAATCATTAAACAAAAAAATGAGGATTTCTATCATCCTAATGGAGGTGTAGATTACATCTCACATTCCAGTGTTCGAACTTGTAAACAAGGCTGCATGGAATTTATCTTAATGCGACTCCATGCAGCCAATGGCAATGTGCACTTTAGGTAAACGCCAGGAGCTTGTGGATTTGAAAGCTCAAATGCAGTTCCACCTCTGACACCGCCAAAACGACTGCTATGCCGATGTCGGCTAAAGCGGATCTGATTGAATAGAGCCCTTCGTCTTGGACCTTGAAACATAATAACACAGAACATTATACAGGTTTTTAACTGCAAGCAGAGCTAACATTTTTCTGTTACACTAAGCAGGTTGGAGATTCCTCTGACTTGTGAGAACCATTTGGTGTGATCTTCAAATTTGATTGAAAGATGAGTCTTGGGTTGTGTCCTTGACTTTTCTTCATTGGCACGTCCGACAGCAGAAGGAGCTGCAGAGACCTTTGTCAAAAACTTTCCTCAGTGGGACTGAATTGCATATCATGTCTGTTTTTGTCAGGGATCCAACCCCGTTTGGATAGAGTGTCAGCCAAGATGGAGGAATTCCTACATCGGAATCCTCTTATGTCATCTAAATATATCACATGCAAGAGCTCAACAATGGGACAGTTAGACAGCAAATCGTTACCAAATTATAGCAGGAATAGTCCTATGCAACATTTCCACACAAGACACAGGGAACGATCAGAAGAGTATACTATTGATAGAGAAGAATAGATGAATAGATGCAGATGTGTGTAGTCTTTTGAGGGAGCTACACACCATAGTGGAATTTGGTGTTTGTGTGTGTTTGCTTACTTGCGTGTGTGTGTGCGTCCAAGCAATGCACGGATGAGAACACTGCAATGATGCCCAGCAAAAGCTGAAGCAAGTCTGCTCTCATGCAATGAACACCATTCATCCAATGAATATCTGCAGATCCAACTTTCTTTCATCATGATTGCCAAAAGCTGCAGAAGTTTTGACAGTAACTAGGCTGGGAGGGAGGACTGCGCCACCATCTCTACCCCTCTCCTCCCACCCTCTCTCCCTCTCCCTCTATCCTGTGATGTATTACAGTCTGCACCCGTAGATGGGCATGGATTGGGAGGAATTAGGTCACGAAGAAGCACACTGCAGAGGGGATAGCGCGGTGCCGACGTGCGTAGGAGAGAGCCCATGGTGTCGTCCGTGGTGCGGTGAAATATGGAGAGGAGTAGAGGCGCACTCACTTAAGGACTGCCAATCATACATCAACAAAGGAAATGGGAGTGAGAGGAAACATGCCAAGGGCATCGCCTGCCCCTGTTTCTCTTCCTGTGTGAGTGTGTGTGAGAGGAAGTCTGTGTGCAGTGCAGCAGCGGACGCTCTGCTTTAGCGCACTCATATGCATAACGGTATTCCACTCACGTTTAAGACTTTCTGCTGTGGAAACGCTGAGGTGACAGAGTGATGATGGGAAAGCGGGCGTCTAGGGGAACAGCTGTTTCTAATAATAGACTCCAAGGAACGTGTTCATCCCCAATGAGCGACAGAGCTGCAACGCCCCCCTTCCTCTCCTCCTCTCTCCTCCGTTTCTCTGTTCCCAGCCTTATGAGGCAGCAGTTTCACTTAAAGCTATGTCATCCCAGGTTTATGTTGCTCACTAACAGTTCCTGTGGATTTCTAATTCCCCTATCTGTTATTTATTGGTTTGCACGTAGGCTACAGTAAGAGGCTTGTAGCTGTACTTTATGTAAGATTACCTGTATTATGATGGTGATAGAGCCCACAGCGAGCCTTATAAATCTATCATGTTTTTTATTCAGGTTGCAGGTTCTATACGGTCATTCATTTGCAAATCAACTGTATGTTATGTTAATGTTTTATTTCTTGCTCATATCTTAAAGCCCAGTGCAGTTTTGTATCCTATTGTACAACAGCTGATGAAACTAACACTATAAATGTGTGAAAAATGTGATCAGTGTTATTTCCTGATAGTTGCTGGATGAAAATACAATCTACACAGGACCTTCTCATCAGCAGTTTTTGCATGGGTGGAGTTTCGGCTTCCCTGGTGACATCACCAGGCGTTAAGTTAGTAAATAGACCAATAGCAAAGAGAGTTCCAAACTTATTTTCAATAACAGCTAGTTTTCAGTTTTCCCCTCCTCACTCAACCACTCCCAGACGGTCTTGATAAGTAGTTTTTTGCTTAAAAGCTATTTCTGTTACTTTTTGACAATTTTAATGGAAAACTGTTACAGTAAAGTACTTAATTGATACCCATAAATGATTTGATACTGATATAAAAACGGCTGCATTGGGCCTTTAATCGTGCACATTTGAGTAAGATAGCCTGTATTTAATTTATTATATGGTTATATGGACTGAGAGGACCACCTCAATTGAAGGATGGTTCCATCTCCTGGGTAATAGTGAAAGTAATTACTGTAACATCTGCATTCTAGAAGCAGTTCTCTGACACCTGGTGGAGGGTTGACAGGTACAGATCTCTTGGCCCTGATCATACACGTCAATCTCATATTGCATTCATCATATTGTCTCTTTCAACTGTCTGAAGAAACTATTTTTAATGACCAGTGCAGTCTAAGGCCAAGCAGTAGGCATGCTTTAAAGCAGACACATTATTTAGTGTGTTCGCATTGTAAAACATTTAGTTTGTCCATGAATAACCAACAAATTGTTCCTTCATCTGTGAATAAGAAAATAAAATGTGAATATGTAACTCCAATAAGCTTTTTTCCCAGAAAGTTTATTTCCCTGAAGCATGTTCTGAAATGCCTATATAAGCATCTTTGCAAACTGCAACGAATGCTGGAAAGCTTGAACGCTGTGAGTGGAATCTTAACTGCAGCTTTGCAACCCAGATTAGATTGATAGAAACCCGAGTGATGCAACTCTCCCCTGCCAGCCCTCAGAGAATGTTACCAGCAGTTAAGTGAAGCATTTTGAAGTGCTTTTCATCAAAATGCCTGCAAGACTTTTTGGATGGCTGATATAAATGAACTCCATTCATTGTTTATCCTTTGTTTTTGGTTGGCCTTGTTCCTGCTGTCCCGTCAACCGCAAGTCTTCAGATTGGGAAAAGATGCCGCAGTGCTGTCACTAAGATCAAACCGCAGCAGCAGCTCAAAAAGAGCCAAATTTAAAGACGGGCCCAGAACAGAGCCCTGGGGAACACCTCACTTGACCTTCGATAAAAGATCTAAAGAGAGAGCTAAATGAACATAGATAAAGTATTCAAGCCTGCCAGATTAAAGTGTTACTATTATTTTCTTCAAAGGCAATGGCATTTAATGTATACTGTATATAACAAAGAACTTTGAAATGAGACATGGGGATTAAAATGTACCGTCATGTTAGTTTTCTCTTCTCTTTCCCACAGTATCTTTTACTTTTTGTTCCTCTCTATATGTTACTCCCTCTGGAATTTCACACTGGTGCAAATGCTGGGTAAATCTGGCACACCATTTTTAATATCAACGCAGTACCAAATTACAACAAACACAGTTAAGGTCTTTCTCATTAAGCTGTTTTGCTGTTGCTGGCACGTCATTTTCTCAACGACCTTGAGTGATCTTGAGGACCTTGTGCACCTTGGCAACCGTCTCTGTCGCCTAATGATCAGTTCTGTTATTGTTATTCCACACCCTCCTCTCCCTCTCTCACACTGTGATACACACCACTCGATATGCAAGGAAGGTTACCCTTTGATATCGGACAGTGTGTTTATGGCAGAGCCAAAATGTTAGCCCTTCACGTTGCACCTCAGGTTTATTGACACATCATCCTTCTTCTCTCTCATCGGTAACTTTCCACTGACTTATCCAAACTAGCTCGAAACCTGACTGAACGTTCAAACTTAGCCATTGATAGTCACAACAATAGCTCATGACGGCATTAAGCTCATGATGCCCGTGCATGTAGCTGTTATAAAGCCTTCATGCATCCCTCAAGTATAAATGTAAACCGAGAGAACAACAGAACAGAGTAAACAGGTGAAAGAGGCAAAGGTTCAAAGTGAAGTCGGATTGACGTTTGGGGTGCTGACACAAGGGTAGAGAGAAAGGGGAGAGTTTGAGGGCAGGACTGGATGGATGGCGTGACAGGAGTGACCGTGGAGCAGGTGATGGAGGTAAAGGACTGTAGCTGCTCAGCCTCTCCAAGGAGCAGAGGAGCCAAGTGCAGCGAGCGAGAGTCGACTGTTTGCTGCGCTTAATAAGAACTGACGTTACACAACATAATCCACCTCAGCAGTATGTGGCCTTATTGCAGAGTCTGTGGTTGCCATTTTTAAAAAGAAGGTGCACACTGTGTGAGAGACTGCAGTGCATCCCCGACTGACAGCAGAGACTCAGTCTGGAGCATTGGTAACACACTCACACATACACATTTAGTCATACTCTTAAGCCAAACACTCATGCAGGTAGTCACACACATACACACACAGACAACCCAATCAGACAACACACAGACAAAGGACATACAGTGCATTCAGAAAGTATTCAGACCCCTTGACTTTTTACAAATTTTGTTACGTTACAGCCTTATTTTAAAATTGAGGTTTTCTTTTAAATCTACACACAATATCCCATAATAACAAAGCGAAAACAGGTTTGTAGAAATTTTTGCAAATGTATTAAAATTAAAAAACAGAAATACCTTATTTACATAAGTATTCAGACCCTTTGCTATGAGACTCGAAATTGAGCTCAGGTGCATCCTGTTTCCATTGATCATCCTTGAGATGTTTCTACAACTTGATTGGAGTCCACCTGTGGTAAATTCAATTGATTGGACATGATTTGGAAAGGCACACACCTGTCTATATAAGGTCCAACAGTTGACAGTGCATGTCAGAGCAAAAACCAAGGCAAGAGGTCAAAGGAATTGTCCGTAGAGCAGGATTGTGTCGAGGCACAGATCTGGGGAAGGGTACCAAAAAATGTCTGCAACATTGAAGGACCCCAAGAATACAGTGGCCTCCATCATTCTTAAATGGAAGACGTTTGGAACCACCAAGACTCTTCCTAGAGCTGGCTGCCCGGCCAAACTTAGCAATCGGGGGAGAAGGGCCTTGGTCAGGGAGGTTACCAAGAACCCGATGGTCACTCTGACAGAGCTCCAGAGTTCCTCTGTGGAGATGGGAGAACCTTCCAGAAGGACAACCATCTCTGCAGCACTCCACCAATCATGCCTTTATGGTAGAGTGGCCAGACGGAAACAACTCTTAAGTAAAAGGCACATGACAGTCTGCTTGGAGTGCCAAAAGGCACCTAAAGGACTCTCAGACCATGAGAAACAAGATTGTCTGGTCTGATGAAACCAAGATTGAACTCTTTGGCCTAAATGCCAAGCGTCACGTCTGGAAGAAACCTGGCACCATCCCTACGGTGAAGCATGGTGGTGGCAGCATCATGTTGTGGGGATGTTTTTCAGCAGCAGGGACTGGGAGACTAGTCAGGATTGAGGGAAAGATGAACGGAGCAAAGTACAGAGAGATCCTTGATGAAAACCTGCTCCAGAGCGCTCAGGACCTCAGACTGGGGCGAACAGCACAAAAACCCTAAGCACACAGCCAAGACAAAGCAGGAGTGGCTTCGGGACAAGTCTCTGAATGTCCTTGAGTGGCCCATCCAGAGCCCGAACTTGAACCCGATCGAACATCTCAGGAGAGACCTGAAAATAGCTGTGAAGTGACGTTCCTCATCCAACCTGATAGAGCTTGAGAGAATCTAAAGAGAAGAATGGGAGAAACTCCCCAAATACTGGTGTGCCAAGCTTGTAGAGTCATACCCAAGAAGACTCTATTTAATCGCTGCCAAAGGTGCTTCAACAAAGTACTGAGTAAAGGGTCTGAATACTTATGTAAATGAATATTTTCGTTTTTTATTTTTAATACATTTGCCAAAATTTCAAAAAACCTGTTTTTACTTTGTCATTATGGGGTATTGTGTGTGGATTGATGAGGGAAAAAAACGATTTAATCATTTTTAGAATAAGGCTGTAACGTAACAAAATGTGGAAAAAGTCAAGGGGTCTGAATACTTTCTGTATGCACTGTACACACCCACAGAGTGCCACAGCCAATAGGCACATTGTGAACACTCCAACAACAGAGAGCCAATCCCTCCCACAAACACTATACACCAAGTACTTTCCTATTGTGTGCCTAATCATCCCACCCCTTCCTCTTCTTCCACCCCCCTAGGATTACACCATCACCATGTACTTCCAGCAGTCCTGGAGGGACAAGCGCTTGTCCTACACAGGGATTCCCCTCAACCTGACACTGGACAACAGGGTGGCCGACTCGCTCTGGGTCCCTGACACCTACTTCATCAACGATAAGAAGTCCTTTGTGCACGGGGTCACAGTGAAGAACAGAATGATCCGACTCCATCCTGACGGAACTGTGCTCTACGGCCTCAGGTGAGTGTATCAGCATTATGTGTTCTTGGGCTCCTGTGTCAGCGTTTTTGTTTCAGGTGTGTGTGTCTTTGTCTTAGTGTCTGTATGTGACGGGTGGCTGGTTGAAAAACATGCAACCGTAGCTCTTACACATCATCTCTTAGTGTGTGGGTGCTGCAACTCTACTGCAAAAACATAGGCAAGGAAACCCTCCATTCCTCAAAGCCCTCTCAAACAGCCATTGCGCTTTCTCCTCTGCCTCTGAGAGGAAGACCCAGGTGGTGAATTATTTATGGAGCCGTGCTCCCCTGCAGTCCGGAGCACAGCAGCAGCGTAGCCTCGTACACTACATGCTCCCCTACATGCTTCCCTCCTCGCCTCTGCAGTGCTGAGTCGTGCTGAAGCCAGCCGCGCCGGGCTAACGAAGGGAACTGAAGGGCAGCCACTGTCAATAATGCAGTGGAGATCAGAGGGATTCAGCGCTTTGGTGGAGGGGAATGATGACTTGACAGTTTTTCTAGTTAGATATCCTTTTTTTGAGCTACGAGGCAGAACTGTAGGGTTGGTAGGGAAGATCCAAAACATGTTTATTACTTCAGTTGGGTGGCATATCTTGTAATCATGCCTGTGCTGAAGATGGATGTGGATGTGTCAAACCTGCTCTTTTTAGGGGGTTTGTTCTAGCCAAAAGGTGTAGTTTGTTTGGGAAGGCATTATTGGTGTTGTTTTGTTTTCGTTATCCAGCAGTACCCCGGACCATCAGGGTTGGATTAAAGTAATCCTGCTCTAGCCAATCACTGACATTAATTGATCAATTAAGTGCGAGGGAGAAAGGAAAACCAGCGGACACTGAGGCCCTCGAGGACAGGAGTTAGTCACCCTCTGCCATAGTTAATTAACTGGCTGAGTTAAAGGCTAGCTGGTAGTTCTGGGAGATAACATCTGTGTCGGAGATCCAGGCAAGATGACATCACCACAATAATCTGACTCAGATCACCACAATAATCACGGCGGAAGCTAATGACAACCAGGCAATCAAGCCCATTAGCTACGTTAGCATGAGTTGTTGTGACTGCACTCGATGTCTAGATTAGGGCAGTTTGTGTGGTTCATATCTTTCTGAGGGCACTGCAGTGTTTTCTTCACATCCATGTGACTTGTTAGGTTAATTAGGGCTGAGGGGGAGTCGTGCGTGTGGTTAACCTGGTGTGGTGGTGGAAAAGATGGTCTTAGATGTATAATTTGATTAAGTATTGGTTTAGGCTACATACATATTGGCTGTGCCCATTATAAATCTGAGGGGTTATTTTTGGTGTATAGGTGTAGTGTCTGTAGTATCATTTGGTGGCAAGGCAAATTTAAGACCATTTGTTGTTGTTTCAGTTGACACCAAAGGATTTGGTTTTGTGTATCAGGTGGCTGAACAGCATGCTCCTGATTGTTTACTGGCATGAACATGTATGCCAATAAAAACAAGGTAACATTTAGGACCGGATTCAAAGCTGCCATAGCAATGTTTATGCAACCGCTTTGTTTTCACATTGAATTCCAATTCACCCCATGAATGGACTGAATTCAAATTCAATACACACCATCTCTGTCTATAGGCAAACACTCAACTCACCTTCAGCCTTCCTTAGTCCTTTGAAGGGCACATTTAAAGGTAGACTCAGCAACATGACATCATCCTACACAGCAGGACAGATTGCCACTATTGGCTCTTCCCAGTTTGGGCATGCACTCATACTGGTAGTCTTGGCAGATTTATATTCTGTTGTTGTTGACGTCTGTAAGCAGGAAGTAGCCCCGCTGTGTATGATGACGTCTTATTGCTGAGTGTACCTTTAACAAATCCTTTTAATTGACATTTCAAGCTAGCCTACTGTAGAAAACCACATTAGCTTGGTTTGAGTTGAGTTGTCTGCCTGTTGGGTGAGCAGCAGTGGCCTGGGTGCTGGCTGGCACGGGCCTGTGGAGAGATTCATTAGCGATAGCCATGCCTCTCAGGAGGATCAGGTGATTCACCCTGCTGGCGCCGGCAGCTCCAGTCTGCCCCATCCATACGCTGCTCTCCCCAGGAGCACTACCAGGAAAACCTGCTCCGCTCGCCTCTCATATCATCTCCAGTCCACATCTATTTTGTCTCTCTAAAGGTAAATGGTGCCCAGTGCATCCAGTTATCCAGTGGTACTGGACTGAAGTGTAGATCCCGTGTTGGTACCAGTTTAGAGTTACAGTAACTAATAATGTTTCAGCATCAGAGTTCTCCCCATGACCCTGACCACTGCCATAATACTTTTGTTTGTAAACAATAAACAATATATCTTTGGTATGGCTCTGTCATTTCCTAAGACACTTTATACGTAAATATCCTAAGCCATGACTGTCATTTTCTTTGACGTGTAGTCATGTAATGCTAGGATATTATGGACCATGACTACATAATTTCTATGACACATTGTCGAGCATTACACATATTTTTTATTTTTTACTTTGTTTTTACAGCATTTTCTTTTGTTGTTAAATGTATATTCTACACACATTTTACATACATAGCACTTTTTATTTATATATATTTTTTAGAGTAGTTACATAGGAAGAGTAAAGTAATTTCATGTTTTGATATACATTACATCTAGATAGATAGTACTTATACATTATAAATCGTGTTTTCAGTCACAACTATTATAGAACATGAGCTTTTAAACCCACCCCTCAGCTACGCTCAGTCCATCCCACCTATCTCGGTAAACCGCCCTCTTGTGATTTTCATGTACCGTATTTTTTTCAACTGTGCTGTATATGGTTTTCCAAATCTCCCAACAGTGCTATTTAGGGTACATTTTAAATAAATGTTGTGAATTTTCAGTAATTCCTGAACCTGTGACCAGAAAGAAGCTACAGTTGAAGTCGGAAGTTTACATACACCTTAGCCAAATACATTTGTAACTCAGTTTTTCACAATTCCTGACATTTAATCCTAGTACAAATTCCCTGTCTTAGGTCAGTTAGGATCACCACTTTATTTTAAGAATGTGAAATGTCAGAATAATTGTAGAGAGAATGATTTATTTCAGCTTTTATTATTTCATCACATTCCCAGTGGGTCAGAAGTTTACATACACTAAATTAGTATTTGGTAGCATTGCCTTTAAATTGTTTAACTTAGGTCAAACGTTTCGGGTAGCCTTCCACAAGCTTCCCACAATAAGTTGGGTGAATTTAGGCCCATTACTCTTGACAGAGCTGGTGTAACTGAGTCAGGTTTGTAGGCCTCCTTGCTCGCACACGCTTTTTCAGTTCTGCCCACACATTTTCTATAGGCTTGAGGTCAGGGCTTTGTGATGGCCACTCCAATACCTTGACTTTGTTGTTCTTAAGCCATTTTGCCACAACTTTGGAAGTATGCTTGGGGTCATTGTCCATTTGGAAGACCCATTTGCGACCAAGCTTTAACTTCCTGACTGATGTCTTGAGATGTTGCTTCAATATATCCACATAATCTTCCTTCCTCATGATGCCATCTATTTTGTGAAGTGCACCAGTCCCTCCTGCAGCAAAGCACACCCACAGCATGATGCTGCCACCCCCGTGCTTCACGGTTGGGATGGTGTTCTTCGGCTTGCAAGCCTACCCCCTTTTTCCTCCAAACATAACGATGGTCATTATGGCCAAACAGTTCTATTTTTGTTTCATCAGACCAGAGGACATTTCTCCAAAAAGTACGATCTTTGTCCCCATGTGCAGCTGCAAACCGTAGTCTGGCTTTTTTATGCCGGTTTTGGAGCAGTGGCTTCTTCCTTGCTGAGCGACCTTTCAGGTTATGTTGATATTGGACTCGTTTTACTGTGGATATAGATACTTTTGTACCTGTTTCCTCCAGCATCTTCACAATGTCCTTTGCTGTTGTTCTGGGATTGATTTGTACTTTTCGCACCAAAGTACGTTCATCTCTAGGAGACAGAACGCGTCTCCTTCCTGAGTGGTATGATGGCTGTGTGGTCCCATGGTGTTTATAGTTGCGTACTATTGTTTGTACAGATGAACGTGGTACCTTCAGGCGTTTGGAAATTGCTCCCAAGGATGAACCAGACTTGTTGAGGTCTACAATTTCATTTCTGAGGTCTTGGCTGATTTCTTTTGATTTTCACATGATGTCAAGCAAAGAGGCACTGAGTTTGAAGGTAGGCCTTGAAATACATCCACAGGTACACCTCCAATTGACTCAAATAATGTAAATTAGCCTATCAGAAGCTTCTAAAGCCATGACATCATTTTCTGGAATTTTCCAAGCTGTTTAAAGGCACAGTCAACTTAGTGTATGTAAACTTCTGACCCACTGGAATTGTGATACAGTGAATTATAAATTAAATAATCTGTCTGTAAACAATTGCTGGAAAAATTACTTGTGTCATGCACAAAGTACATGTCCTATCTGACTTGCCAAAACTATAGTTTGTTAACAAGACATTTGTGGAGTGGTTGAAAAACTGGTTTTAATGACTCCAACCTAAGTGTATGTAAACTTCCGACTTCAAGGGAAACCTAAATAAGTGATCTATTGATTCTTCTTCGTAGCAAAATCTGCAGTGCTGAGATGGTTGTACAGTGGGGAAAAAAAGTATTTAGTCAGCCACCAATTGTGCAAGTTCTCCCACTTAAAAAGATGAGAGAGGCCTGTAATTTTCACCATAGGTACACGTCAACTATGACAGACAAAATGAGATTTTTTTCCAAAAAATCACATTGTAGGATTTTTAATGAATTTATTTGCAAATTATGGTGGAAAATAAGTATTTGGTCAATAACAAAAGTTTCTCAATACTTTGTTATATACCCTTTGTTGGCAATGACACAGGTCAAACGTTTTCTGTAAGTCTTCACAAGGTTTTCACACACTGTTGCTGGTATTTTGGCCCATTCCTCCATGCAGATCTCCTCTAGAGCAGTGATGTTTTGGGGCTGTCGCTGGGCAACACGGACTTTCAACTCCCTCCAAAGATTTTCCATTGGGTTGAGATCTGGAGACTGGCTAGGCCACTCCAGGAACTTGAAATGCTTCTTACGAAGCCACTCCTTCGTTGCCCGGGCGGTGTGTTTGGGATCATTGTCATGCTGAAAGACCCAGCCACGTTTCATCTTCAATGCCCTTGCTGATGGAAGGAGGTTTTCACTCAAAATCTCACGATACATGGCCCCATTCATTCTTTCCTGTACACGGATCAGTCGTCCTGGTCCCTTTGCAGAAAAACAGCCCCAAAGCTTGATGTTTCCACCCCCATGCTTCACAGTAGGTATGGTGTTCTTTGGATGCAACTCAGTATTCTTTGTCCTCCAAACACGACGAGTTGAGTTTTTACCAAAAAGTAATATTTTGGTTTCATCTGACCAT